GGGAGACACGGAGGGACAGTCACAGTATGTGAGGAGAAAGGAGCCATTGTGCCGGAATACTATTCTACGAGGAGGAGTCAGAGGAGTGCCTGTGTGTCTGGGGATGATGGAAGCTGCATGCTCCCCGCAGCCAGTAAAGAGGTGCATGCCGTGCATTGTGGGATGCTGCACAGAGGCCCGGCAGAGATCTCAGTGAAGTCTATATAGTATGTGTGCCCGGCTCTTTAGGCTCCTGGGGAGGACGTGTCCACACCTCACCTTTTGGGGGTGGGTGCCAGCGCAGGGGGGGGGGAGCGGGGCTCGGCATCCTGTCTCTGTACAACGTTTTCGGAAGCAAATACTGTTTGTCAATCTGTTGAAGTTTCTTACCTGGAGATCCTGCCAGTAGCACCACTTCCTGTGGCAGGGTGACAACACTAAGCCAATGCCTCATAATAAACAGCAGCAGTGTTGTCACCTCGTCTTTAGAGCTCCTTCAGTTGGCTACCTATCAGGTCTATTAGATAAGCAGGCCACTGAAGGAGCTCCAAAGCCAGGCTGACGCGGCTGCTAATTACAGCTGCCGGTATTTCCTGTTTTATGAAATACCATCTCACCCGCAGGAGACCAATTAGACGCATGAGAAGGTGCGTCATGCAAGGAGGCAGCAGGGGGGCGGTCGGTCGGAGAGTCATCTGTACCCAATGGCAGGGGCTACAAAGTGGCGCCCCGAGTCCTTCAATTAACCTTTTCTACTTAACGAGGACGCAGGAGTGCCGAGGAACGGACTAACGAGGCGAAAACCCAACGAGCGCTAAATACGATATGACATCCGCGACGGGAAGAGAATATATTAACCTGTTTTATATATACACAGCCATCGCTAGCGCAAGAAGCTGCGGTAAGATGGAGTCCGTCAAATGTCCGAGGAGGCGGTACGCAGCGAGACCGGCGCGGCGGATAGACATGGCCGGGGAGATGGGAACGGCGGCGGCGGCTTCCTCTACGGGGCTCCGCCTTAGCTCAGCACCACGTGGCGGTCGAACACAGACTTGCGCTGTTCCTGCACTTGCAGCTTCCAGCGCTGCTGGGCGTATTCCACTTTGTTTAATACGTTGGCGCGGCTTCTGGATCGCGCGAGGACGTCGTGGGCGTTGGCGAAAGGCTGGTGATCCTGCGGGGGAGGAGAAGAGAAAAGGGTCGTTAGCGGAGAGAATTGACGCGTTCCCGGGATAAACTGCGTCACATCAGATCACGTGCTGACCGCTGAGAAATGAACCCTATAAATTGCTAGGCCAGAACACTGTCACCGCTTTAAACCAAGATGGTGGCTGCAGTCATTCGGAAATCGCTGAGCAAGAATCTCTTCCGATATAAAACTTGGATCCGATGATTGAAAGCTGCACCCCTGCGCCTGCACAGAGAGCCACGAAGGGGTTAACAGAGAGAGCGGACCCTTGTCGGGGTCACAGCGGGAGCGCCGGTGACAGGGATGACAAATGAGTGTAAACACGGAATGTTTTGTACTCTCCGAGCAGCACCTGTGGTGGGCGCGGCGCCCGGAACTGCGCAAAACCGCTGAAAATATCCGCCAACGCGCGACAACCGTCAGCCGCAGAGGAACTACAACCCTCAGCATGCACGGCCACCCACCAGCTATTGCTACATGCTGGGATTTGGATCCCGATACACAGGCACGTCTGTGTGTTTTATGGACCTCATGCTGCCCTCTCACTCCTCTGTGGCCCTCAGGGGCCCCCCGGCAGTTCTCCAATTGACAGGTTCGAGTACCTGACATTCTTCTGCAGCTAAATACAAGGCGGCCATTAGGAATTGGGGCCCCGTACAGCCAACCGGACCCAAAGAGCCTCCTAAACATGAACATGTGACGGATTGCAGTGTGCGGACACAACAACGGCATTTTCTACCATTTCATATCCCCGGCCCGGACCCTCCCTGGCAGCTGAGATGACGGGGCCCGGCAGGCCCCTCGTGTCCCATTGTCACTCAGTTTACACAACAAGCGGCAGGTGACGGAGGTTCCCGATAAAGCGGATCGAGTTTCCGATATTTCATTTTATCAACACGAATCCACCGCAGAGCCAGAAAAGATCGCGTAGTGAACACTCCCTCCGGGGTTCACGGGACAGTTTCTAGGGTTATCTTGACCAAATTAAACTGTATTAGTCTGGAAGGTTTGTAAACCTCTGATGTCACCATGTGGAGCCGCCTCGGTGTATAAGGGGGGGTGGGGGTGGGTCTAGAGTCAAGAAAACCTTCCCATGTTGCTTTGCACGCCCCATGATTGGAGGATAATTGCGGCACGTGCAGCACACCATGGCATGTTAAAGGGTTTAAAGCTGAGCTACAGCCTTGCCTGTCCCCCTCCTGTGTTAAAACCAACAACTCTCAAATCCCTGCAAACTCGCATCTCCACAATACAACCCTCAGAAGCTGCAGCAGCTATCCTGAGCCCGCCCTGATTTCCTCATCACCAATCCCCTCTCCTCCCGATCTATATCCTCCATCCAATCCCCTCTCCTCCCGATCCATATCCTCCATCCAATCCCCTCTCCTCCCGATCCATATCCTCCATCCAATCCCCTCTCCTCCCGATCCATATCCTCCACCTCCATCCAATCCCTCCTCCTGATAGGTTGGCCCACCTCTCACAGCTATTACATTTCTCTGCCATCCATTATTTTTGTACTTCGCCATGTGTGGGGGTGATCTTTAGGGGGTGGTGTCAGCCACTGTACTGCTGTTCCTGAGCATTCAATGAAAAAACATTTACCCAGCATCCCTTTAGACACGCATACTCCTCCCTGTTGCCCACTGGCTGCTGCAGACTTTAGCACTTTAGCTGTGCAATCTATTAGAGAGTGTAGTCAAGCAACTGATCAGCAGATTGTACAGCTAAAGTCTGCAGCACCCAGTGGGATGGGGGGGGAGTATGCGTGTCTAAAGGGATGCTGGGGATGTGTTCTTTCATATAACACAGGGGCTGTTAAATAACAAGAAGCCTAATGGCCCCTCCCACCAAAAGACCAGCAGAAGGATGCAGTGAAGACCACAGTACCTGAGTTTGTGTTGACATCACATGACTACTTGACACAGGCGCCACATTTCCCTGACTATGATTTATCCAGCCTCTTAGGTTTTGAGATTCTCTAACCATTGTTAAAGCCGTAATGAAGGGGGATTGTTTGGCCCCAAAACGCGTTGGATCCCTTATGTTACCCTGTGGAAATCATATAATAAGCTTCAAGACTCCCAGCAATGGGTGGTGCTTTCCCTGCTTACCCCGACATCGTCCTCACTCTGTATGAGCTGAGAATGGCCGAACAGACGTCTCTTCAGAATGGGCTCCACCAGGGTCAGGTACACCATGTAGAGCAGGAGGAGGCCCAGGATGGACAGGTAGATGATAATCGTCACCTGCAGGGGGGGCAGAAAATTTCATGTCACCACCTGCATGCAATAGGAATGAACACAGCACAGGATTGGGTCATTAACTAGCAGCGGGTGATCACCGGCACTGGACTATAGTCACTGAAAGCGGTGTTTTGCTGGAGAAATCTGTGACACTGTTGCTTTAAGGGACAGAACCGTACGCTGTGCCAAAGCGGTTTGTAACATGAGAAAAAAAATAAATCCTTTTCTTGGAGACTGAGGGACACAGGAAGTCTTAGACTGTTGGGTTATTCTGCCACTTACAGGAGGATTTGATATGGGCTAACAAAAAAAAATATGGGCCGGCCTTGGATAACCCCTCCCACTCCCAGCATGCCTCAGTTTTCTACGAAAGCAGCACCAAGAGTATGATTGTAAACACAGAGGGGTGAGACTTGTTCCCTCAATGGACCCCAAAATAGAAGCCTGATTTTCGATCATCTATTGAGGGACACAGGAAGTCAGACTGTCAGGACATTAAAAAGTAGCGATGGCAAAACGCTAACAGGCCTGGGGACCGGCCACCTGAAGCTGGTATCAGCCTACTTAGTGACCAATCCCCCTGTAGGTGGCAGTATAACCCAACAGCCTAAGGGGGTTATTCACTTAGCTACCAAAGGCAGCCGAGTGACTAACTGAGCCAAAGTGAAGCGAGTCGAACGCCGTTCGGCTATTCACTCCGGCTCAGTACGGCTGATTTCATGCTCTGCATGTTCGGCTGAGCGGAAGTGCAGAAGGAGTTCGACTCAGCCGATCCAAACATCTGGATCGGCTGAGCCGAAGCTCCGGCAGCTCACCCGCTGCCGTTCTCTACTATTCTCAAAGGGCCAAATGGCAGTGAGTGAATAGCTGAATGCCGGCGAGCGGCATTCGGCTTGGCGCCTCCGTGATACCGAAGAGAATAGCAAAACAGTTAGTCCCAGGCCAATAAATAACAACTGGGCGGAGCCAGCTGTGAGGTCACTGCTGGCTCCGCCCAGCTATCATTTGCGTGGAGACCGGTCGGCTTTGGCCGACCTTTCTCCACGCTTCAGCTGTCACTACAATGGATGAGAAAAAAAAACAATAAATGCCCATGAAGGGGTTAAATACGGCAGCCATGACGATGACACTGACCTTGATGGTGACGGAGCTCCGCTCTTCATATTTGCACTCGCAGCGCAGGCAGTACGCCTCCACGTCCGCACCCGGGACCGGCATGGGGGTGACAACATGGAGACAATCACTGGAGAGGAGAGGAAAGGAGAGTCACCAGTTACACAGAACCTCTTATACACAACAATCCCTCCCAGACCGCCCGCCACTCACCAATCTTTCTGCGTCACGTTGGTGTTGAAGATTCTGCCAGGTTTGTCTTTGTACGGCGGACAGATACACTTACAGCGCACGTCCTCCGACTTCTACAATACAGGAAGTGGGTGTTATCATACAGATAAGCATTTCCTCAGTCTCCCCTCCCCTGGTGATCAGTCTGCTGCAGGCAGGGGGAAGCATTTCCTCGGTCCCCCTACCCCAGTGATCAGTCTTCTGCAGGCAGGGGGAAGCATTTCCTCAGTCTCCCCTCCCCCAGTGATCAGCCTGCTGCAGGCAGGAGGAAGCATTTCCACAGTCTCCCCTCCCCCAGTGATCAGACTGCAACACTGGTCAGGAATTTATTGAAGCGGTGAGATATTCGCCCGTTCACAGTCCGGCTAGGATTGTACCATGTGACCAAGGAAGTGGCGCAGGCTCTGGTAGTACCTCCCTTCCCTCCTCTCCTGAGATCAGAATGTTCCTGTGTATAATAATGGGCGTCATCCCTATCCCTTGTACAGAACTACAGAAGATGTTGGTGCCATATAAATTAATAACAACCAAGGTATAGGGCTGGGCCTCAGTGTATAGCATGGGGGAGTCTATGAGATGGGGAAGGGACCCCCAGTATATATAGGGAGGGCACTGTGCAATTTAGGAGGGCCCCCCCAGTGTGTGAGAAGGGGAGGAGTCTCTGGGACGGGGGGGTCTCCACTCTATGATGGGGGAGGGGTTTATGAGGCGCATGATATGACGGACAGCCTCACCTTTTCCTCCTTGTCATCTTTATCCTCGGATCCCCGGACTGACACCAGCAGCAGGAAGAGGACCGCACCGCAGACCATCTTCCCAGCTCCCCGGAGCGCCGCCATCATCACAGTCCTCTGTCACCTGACTTTGCTCCACTTCCGCCTTACTTCCGACATTGTCCTCTGGACCCGGAAACCCCGAACATCAGTTCCGCCCAGAGCTGGGTTCAACAGCGCCACCTTTAGGACACACAAAACACTGCATACAGCACAGAGAGCGAGAGGAGGGGACCCAGTGGGGGGACATTAGAGTGTAAGCTCCTCTGCCTGATGTGAATGGCTCAGGGTTCTCTGTACGGCATTGCGGTATATGTCAGTGATATATAATCAGTGGCAGACCTAATAACCAAAGGGCCCTGGTGCAAGATTTTATCTTTGGCCCCCCCTCCCAAGATGGCAGGGCGCGGGAGCGGATCACACTGGCCCCCGAACCCACCCCCCAGCGGTCTCTAATGTTGCACTACCGTGATGTACTCTGGACTTACCTGAGACCCTGCAGAGCACACCATAGATCCTGCATAGCCCACCTAAGACTCTCTATGGTGGGCTCTGCAGGGTCCCAGGTGGGCTGGTCGCCGGGGTCCGTTTCCCTGTTCCTCCTCCCAACTCTTCTTGCCTGCTGCTGCTGGGGCCCGTCCACCCCTTCCTGTCACCTCTGCCATGCCACCCCTGGTACAGCTGATACCCATGTAAGGGGCCCCCCAGGCTGGCCAGACCCCTCACATGGGTACCGGCCATACTCCCCTGATGGCGGTGTTCTATCAAAGTTTGTGACTATGTTAGAATGTGTGACTGGTCACCCGTTTTGACGTAATCACGCCCAGTTTTTTGGCGGGGTAATGTGTGACCGCCAATAGGTGAAGAATTCCAACGCTTTCTCAGCTCTTCCAGGGCAGATCGGCATCGCAGATGGTATGTGCAGGAGAATCGATCTGCCCTGGAAGAGCTGATCGGTCCTGACATGTCACTTCTATCCGACTTTGTGACTGCGTTCTCACCTTTCACCGCACTCACAAAGTCGGATAGATCAGCTGTTCCAGGACAGATCGGTTCTCCTGCACATTTGCAATGCAGACAGCAA